GCAGAGTGAGCGATCTGATTCTTTAGCTGTAAACTGTGTCACAGGGTTCAAAATGGCCGCGCCCTATATTGGGCATGTCGGACCTCTCTCTTGCCTCGTATAGTAATCAAAGTATGTGCGTTTATTCTAATAGAAATATTTTAATGTTGATTATTGCTGAAGTTGATTCATTCAATTTTATTCGTCATCTTTTTGTCTATAGATTTTTGCAATTTTTTTAGCGTCTACGTGATGTTTTTCAACAACCATGATTGCAGTATCATCAGAAAATGTTACAATGGTATTGGTCTCAAAGTTATGAATATATCCGGTATACAATAAGTAGAGTATTGGACGTAGTACACTATCTTGATTTTCCTTAGGTCCTTAGGTCCTGTTTATTTCTGAAATACCTTTCTGATAAATTTAATTTTAATAGTTCTGAGTATTATTGACGTGGCAGGAACATATTCATTTTTTGAATCATGCCATACTTTGCCGAAAGCCTGAGACACATCCAAAAAGGCAGTGGAGCAAACTTTTTCTTCTAGAGACTTCTCGATGATGTCTGTGATCCTATGAACTTGGTCGATGGTCGCGTGTTTTTCTCTGAAGCCAAACTGGTGGGGGATATTTTTCTTCTCTCTCTCAAGAAGTAATTTTTCATAGAGTTTCGAGATAACAGGCAAGAAGATGGGTCTGTACGATGTAACTTCATGGGAAGTTTACTTGGCGTAGGTAAAATTTTAAACAAAAAACCCTTAATACCTAATTATTGTCAAAAATTAAATAATTTGCAAAGTGTCACTCATTCGTATGTAGCATATGTAGCATTCATGTGTATCGTAAACTGTTACGGTTCGCATTTTCTCTTTATAATATTTATATACAAGTTAAATTAATATAAAACTTACCTGTCGATAAAATAAAACACACGATTGTTCAAAATATGACCTGAATGCTTAGATAAAAGAGACCAGAAATATAACATACACCGGTGTTTAACCTGCGCAAATGTTGCCAATTTCTAAAGGAAGGTTAACGGAGTGGGGGAACTAGGCGGAGATCCGAACTCTGTGACAGGGACGGACTTTGTTTATTAGCATCATAATGAACTATTAGATTTATTTAAAAGATGTTTATATTAATGGAATTTTGTATTATGAAATAAATTTAACGTGATTTTTTAATATCAAACAGATGCCACGACATTTTATTTAAAGAGAAGACCTTTTATAAAATATTTCGTTAGCGTTTATTTACTACGGACTTTTCTGCAAGAGACTATAGTAAAATGTTGAAATAAAATATTGTTAATAGAGCAAGAAATAGTACTCATTGTCTACGAGTATTATAAAAAAAGCATGTGCACAGGCGAATACTGCAAATCAAATCTTGTGAGTTAAATATTATATTATTTCTACGGATATTACATAATATTAAAAATTAGTCAAAATGAGAAAATGCTGTTTTGTAAAGTGACCTCAGAAAAAGGTATATTAAAGCTTCTTTCTTTAGGAATATTAATTAATAAAGATGTTGAGTCACATATGTCTTAAACCAGATAATATTTTAAAATTTATACCTAATAAAAGTCATTTGGTCGCTAGGGGGAAATGATTATCGAAATAAATTATCGATCATTGAAAATAATTTTTTTGTCTTATTCCCTTTAAAATCGACTACTTGATTATCTTTGAAAAATCAAAAATAAATCCATTAATTAAAAAGCCAATCAACCGATAAATCAGTGTTTACAAGAAATAATAAAAGAATTATCGTTTATTTTAAATAATCAATTATTTTCCAATAATCTATTTTTTTCCTCAATTGAAACAGATTAATCGATAATCTTTGAAAAATCGAAAATAATCGATTATTCCAAAATAATCGTTTAATCGAAAATAACCAATTAATTAAGAAGTCGATTCTACGATAAATCGATTTTCCAAAAAAATAACCAAATAATCGATAAATCGAAAATAATCGATTAATAAAAAGCTGATTAACTGATAAATCGATAATTCTGAAAAAATAATTGAAATAACGGTTATATAAAATAACCGATTATATTCGATCTATCGATTATTTTTATAGAATACCTCTGAAAATCGAAAATAATGGATTTTTCGGAAATAATGGATTAATTAAAAAACCGATTAAATGATAAATCGATTATTCCAAAAGAGTCGATAATTTTCTATCAATCGATTATTTTGAATAATTCTACTTTCTTTTTGTATTTACTTTAAAATCGATTATTACATTATCTTAAAAAAAAAACGAAAATAATTTATTGAAAATAACGGATAAATCGATTTTCATAAAAAAATATAGGAATAATCGATAGATCGATTATTTTTGTAACCCTTATCGGTCGCCTGCTCTTATCCGAGCATTTAGTTCCAAAATTTAGAGTTTTAGATTTTTTGATCCCGTTATCTTTGAAACCGCATTCGATTGTATAAAAAATAATAAATATTGCAAAAATTTGCATTTTTTTAGCATACGAAAATTTTGTTCGAGTTGTTTAGGGGTTTATAATGTAACATTTTATTAACAATGTGACTAACTCCCGTAACTTTAGTATTTTTTTGCTAATACTAGATCATATTGCGCACTTTACTTTGTTTTAAGACTTAAGATTCAAATGTCACTTCCGATTTGACCGCAAATATATGAACCTTGAAATTTTAAGTAGGTCATACTGTATTTCATCACAATCCTCATAAAAATGCTTTATAAAAATAAAATCTGGCTAGCAACTACGCTTCTTCACTTCTTATTTATCTACCAAAAAGGGCTAAAAACCACCTTTAGTAAATATTTATATAAAACTACTTTTTAAAAACAAAATTTCGTTAGCAACAATGATTATTAATTTCTTATTTAAATTAAATGTTCAAAATTTTACCCTTTTTAAAATTTATGTAAATAATATGAAATCTGTTTTCTGAAGTATTTGTTTAAAATTTATTGAAACCCCTCGATGCGGATCTGAAGTATTCAGCCCAAAGGATCATGGCGCTTTATGTCAAAATAAATATTTACCGCTGAAAACGAATATATTTTTTATCTTTCATAACATTGGTACTTGTATTATAAAAATATACAATTTTTCAAGATACATCGTGGGATTTTGAACTTGAAATTGAATAACTAAAACACTTTAAATGGCTAAAACACCAACAAATAAATCAAAAAACAGCTGTCAGGCGGAGGTGAGCGTTGAATGGAAATATCGGAGCAATTCGGGTGGGGTGATGCAAACAATGATTTTCAATTGGTGGGTTACTTGGAGTTAAAATAGACAACATGCGCAGTGTGCAATGTTACAACCTCGGTCTCTTTAATCTAAGCCTGAATGTAAACAAGCAGTTTGACATAAATTGTCAACCTTGACCTTCTCTCTTGTCATTTATAAATCTAATTACAATTTTTCAAATTTTAAATTACATTTACTTTCATTTATTATAACCCCAAACCTTGGGGCAACGTAGCAAAACCTAACCTAAAACTGTAACTAAAATGGTCATCATAAAAATGTGTATTTGTTTAAATTACTATGAGGTCCTCTAAGCGACACTATATAGAATTTAGAGTAGGTATAAATGCCTTAGCACAAGAAGTAACTAAAAAGAAGTACAAAAGATGTTTATGTAACTGCGAATGCAAGTATTGATTGCTGTGAACTTGAATCTTCAGTTTTGGAAATATGATGTTACAATTTAAACACACACATATTCTGTAACAATTCCTTTATATTTAACGGCCTTTAAAATATTGGCGGCTTTTAAAATATTTTCGTATTCGTTAATTTACTTCTGTCATTACTTAAACAGATTTCTTTGAGATAGTTCTTTAATGTATTTTAAAGATCCGTTTAAATAATGACAGAAGTAAAGACGAAAATATTTTTAAATGCCGTTAAATATAAAGGAATTGTTACAGAATAGACCCCTATGGGGGTTCTTTACTTCTGTCATTATTTAAACGGATCTTTAAAATACATTAGAGGACTATCTTAAATAAATCTGTTTAAATAATAACAGAAGTAAATTAACGAATACGAAAATGTTTTTAAAGGCCGTTAAATATAAAGGAATTGTTACAGAATAGACCCCATTAGATATTAAAACAAAAATATATTAATATTACTTATAAAAAAACGTTAGATAAAATACTTTTAATGTTTTATGATTAGTGGGATATTTTTCTATAATATCACAACAATAAATAATGACTATTACACAAAAATTCTGGATGAACTGAGCTTTACTTTTTGAAAGATATTGCTAATTTTTTACAACTCTATAATTATGTCACCAAAGTAATCAAAATATTTTTCTTCTGTGTAAGTAAATTAAAAACATATACTACAACAAATCGTTTTTTGTAAATTCGTTTCCAAAACAGTGATTTTATTCGAAGTGAAAAAATATAGTTTAACACTCTCTACCTTTTCTGATGCGCCGCCCAATGCAAGTGGCGCACGATCGACTAAATTATCTATAAAAAATAAATTGACTGATAGACAAAAGTGACAAAATAGACTTGAGGAGCTATACTTAACTAAGTGTTCAATAACATTGGGTCAACAAAAAGAATTTCAGTTAAGGAACTGAAAACAAAACAAAAAGTCGTCCTGCCGTATTGGGTCAGAAGAGATAAATAATATGGTCACCTTAATTTATAGGGGCGCCAGTCAAGGTGCTTACCCGATCTAAATATTTATGTTCCTTCCGCTGACACTGATTATTACACTTTCATAACAGAAAAAAAAATCTGGTCATCGTTAATTATTATATAAGAGGTAAAATTGCCATACGATTAGTGCGAGATCCTTAGGCGACAAAAATTCGAATGTATACAATATGTTTTATTTGTAAATAAAAGTAAACGCCTTTTTTAACTTTAGAGCGACAAACTTGTGAAGTTCGTATTTTAATTATACTTAATTTGAAACAAATTTAAAGACTTAAAACAAAAACCATGTATAATTAGTCAACTTTTATTTTCTAGATGAATCACAAATTATTGCAGAGTGTAAGATACCCTCGCGTTGGTTGGGTGTGCTGTATAGCATTCGGATTGTGGCTTCAACTAGTTTCCAGTAGCCTGATGGATGATAGGTCACTAAGTATTCGTAGTCACCACAGTATCACCAAAAGATCATTCAAAGATTTACAGTGTAAAGGAGTTTACGATAAAAGTATATTTGCAAGATTAGACCAGATCTGCGAAGATTGTTACAACCTCTTTCGCGAACCTCCGCTTTACACGATGTGCAGGTTAGTAATTCAGTTATTTAAACGAGACCTGTTTTATTTCTGAAGTGAAGCTCTAATCGCTGTACATTTATTTATACTCATAATAATACAGTATAGATAAACAAGAAAATCTCAAAGCCATGTGTTAAAAAATACAAGCGAGCATTTCCCTCTGGAAAACATCTACTCCATTGGCTAATATCACAACAGGTATTGAATTATATCCAAATAAAAACAGCATACAAAATTATTTTCAACGCAATAGATATCGATTTCAATCTCTACTCATTTAGTTTATAAGTAATTCTTTATCTTTGTTGAGATCTTTAATTAATAGCATGTATCATGAGTTTGAGTCAAGTTATTGTTGATCTTAGATATGAAAGTGATGTCCTGGAGACCTTCTTAAACTATGGGATAGAAACTTATTTCTTTCAAGATTTTCATGATAAATGTCATAGGTCAACGTGGAATAGTAGTTTGTGCAACAAGAGTAGATATGATGGCCATATCGCACGAAGACGAAATTTGAGCACGACGCCGTAGGCGGAGTGCAATGTGGATAATCCACTCGAGTTGTACAGTATATTTTTTCTACGGCCCACTAACGAAAATTTACAAATAAAAAAATAGTTTAGGTTATTAAGACAAAATAACTAATTTTAAAATTATTTATGACTTTAAATAATTTTTAAAATAAAATAAACGAAAAAAAAAATGAAAAAAAGTGAATTTAATTTTTTCCCATCTGAGAATCGAACTTCCAGGACCACCTATTCATTTATTTTTGTTGCTTTAATACTCGCCATTAAATTGACTTCATATAGTTTTAGTTAAATTAAGAAATTATTTATAATTATAGACGAAATAAAAACAGATATGCTATTATTTATCAATTCTACACAAGAATAACCCATTTTATTGTTTTTTTTTATCTCAATAACAAAAAATTATAGTGACAATTAGTTTGACAGAATTGTCAATTATTTAAAATTTTAAAAATAATAGCAGTCGGTTGATCAAAATATAAACGGTGATTGGTGGATTTCATTTTTTTGCAGTGTTCTCACTACAATACACAACAATAACTCATTTTAATGTAAATTTAATTTTAATCTTAATAACTGAAAAATATAGTAACAATTAGTTTTGACACAACTGTCACTTATTTAAAATTAAAAAAAAATAATAGTAGCCCGGTGACCAAAATATGAACTGTGATTGGAGGATTTCATATTTGTGCAGTGTTCTTTCTAGGTAGAATGGACATGAAATATATTCGTTCAGTTGAAGGCAACAGGATACTTTTTCGTCTTGAAATCTGTGTGTAGATAAGCTAATATCTATGTGGGTGTAGAAAAACAGTATTTTTAACGCAGTAATTCACTGACTGTTTCTCTTGGTTTATTTCTCCTAAGAATTTTATGTCTTAGTGTTTTTAAAAATACTGTTTGCACAATGACGTATGACATTTCCCATCTATAACTTTTTATTAATACCTACTCTCATGTAAATATAATATCAGAGTGTGAAATTAATACTTTCTTAAAAGAATTCCATTGCGGCGTTCAACTGAACGAATATATTTCATTACCATTATCAGGCCCGTCGAGAGGGGGGACAAGGGGGCAAAATCCCCGGGACCCGGCAGATTTGGCAGCTAAGTCCTTTTTTTTACTTCGTCACAAAAGGTAGGACCTGGTTTACGAAAAATACAAGGTGAGGACTTTTTTTTTGTTTTTAGATTTCACCAAGAAAGTACCTGATTTTGCTGAGGATCTTTTTTTGCCAACCCTAGTTATATTATAAGGGGCCCTTGTCAGTGTTTTTACCCCGGGGCTCCAACATGGCTTTCGGCGGCCCTGCCCATTCTATCTAGTAAGAACACTGCACAAATATGAAATCCACCAACCACAGTTCATATTTTGGTCACCTAGCCACAATTATTTTTTTTTAATTTTAAATAAGTGAGAATTCTGTCAAAATATTTATTTTCAGTATATTTTTTAGTTATTGAGATTAAATATACATTAAAATGAGTTAATCTTGTGAAGAATCAATAAATAATTGCATTTCCATTTTTATTTCGTCTATATTTACAAATCATAAATTTTAATAAAAACTATATAAAATCAATTAAATTACGAGCATTAAAACAAAATTTTTAGATGTGTCGATGGAGCTGAGAGTAGCGCTTTTTGTTCAAGTTTATTTTATTTTATAAAATAGTAAAAGTTATAAATAATTTTAAAATTAGTTATTTTATCTCAATAACATAAAATAATTTTAAAATTTGTTGATTTGTTGTTTGTGATATAGCCATCATATCCACCTTTGTTGCACAAACTACTATTTGTAATTTCCAGTTTCACAACAAATGCAATTTTGGTTTCGTTCATTTTCTTACATTATTTTTAAAAAATTACATAAAAAATTTATTTTTTAAAATACCCTAACGTAAACCTTGAAGTAAAAATTTAACTAATTATGTTTTTACTACATTCAAAGACTAAAAGTGCAGCACGCGTTTCGTAGTCTTCTTTACATATTCGTGAGAAATCTATATAAATACTATATTATATCATTGAATGGAACCTGTAGTTGCGTAAAATTCACTCGCATACTTTGATGTTGGTTGAGTGAAATTAAAAAGTCAGAAAATAGCGTCATAACCAACATCAAAGCTCGCTTGTAGTAACCAGTTCACAAACTAGGTGGAATAAAAGCCAGAAAAAAGGAAATTCCAAACTCAAATGTGACCAAGGCATAACATAATTAAAATAAGAAAACCTTAAAGCCTTGGGTGACAAAATTTCATTTAACCAAAATTAAGGTATACGAGTGATTTTTACGTATCTGAAGGTTCTATTGTAGATTGGATGTCTATTTCTTGCTGACGTGTCCTAATAAGGACGAAAGTCTCCTTATAGTAGGGGAGCCCCCGATACTGAATTGGGATTTTCTGAAGCATCATAGAGACCTATTGGGTTGCAAAGCTTAGATGATAAGATGAAAATAATGTCACCTCTTCATCGATGGAGGAAGCGGCTATAGATTTTTAAATATGTAAAAAAATACTGTTGCATGGACATACTCGAGCGCGTCAGATATTGATAGCATCAATGTCCTACGTATTTTTAATAATGTACGTATGATAATCTGATCGTTTGCATGATGCAAGTGGTTGTACGTAAGGGTTGAAAATGAAAAAAAAAATGTAATCGAGCGCGTCACATTTTTTAAGGGGGTGTTAAATGAACCAAAAAAGCTCTCATTCAATAATATGACGATTTCGATGTGACGCAAACTCGCGGCCACAATTATAATGTGCAAAAAAATCGCCATTTTGAAATCCTCAAGCGCATCAGAATAAGATATGGTTCATCTTTATGTCCTAGACGTGCTGACGATTATCTAGAGGGATTCGCCTAATCTGACCAAAAAAAAAATTTTAATTTTTTTAAATCATTGAACTTAATTAATTATAAAGCTCAGGAAATAGCATGCAAAAAAAGGGTATATTTTTTAAGGAGAATACTACTTGTATTTATAAGAAAATAATTTAAAAAATGCTCAAAAAAATTTAATTTTTTATAATTCATTAATTATTCATCATCTTCATCAGTAGAATCATCTTTCTCTTCTGGTTTGATTTCATCCTCAGATTGCGTATCTGTAACAAAAAATGAATAACGTGTTTTTTTAATTATTGGAGAAAAGAAATACCTGATCCTGGAGTATCCTCAAGAATGTCAGGGGTTATGACTACATCTTCGTACGCTTTCGGCAATTGACCACCTGCAAATCAGATCATTTTAAATTTTCCGTCGACAACTTTCCATCCATAGTCCGTTGGTAAAAGAGCAAAATTTTTGCATTATGGGCATTGCTCCAGAAGCATGCAATGAATCTTGTGCGTAACACTTGCTTGTGTAACTCTGTTTCACAGGGTGGCAAGTTGCACGCATCGTAATTCCGGAGAAGGGTTGTGATTTGTCTTTTACGTTGTACGTCTTATTGAAGATGACAATCCTGGCTTGATTGACATCGTCTAACTTTTTCAACCCATACAAGTGGCAAGTAAAAGAGTTTATGATGTTAAAAGAATTCTGCACATGATGCTCCTTTGATCCCAAATCCAGAAATGCTTCTTGGAAAATTTCTAAATTCATTAGAAATTGCAAAGGTTTCTTTTTCCTTCGTCCGTACAATGCTGGGTTGAAATCGCAACCAGTGAACGCATGCAAAGCTGGAAGTGCCTTCGAAATTTTTGGGCCTAATTTTTTGTATCGGCGTACATTGCCAACTCCAAGATCCATCCAAACTTCTGCTCTTGTTTGCAGGTGTTCCATATTCGCTAACATGATGACCACTATGTCAGGATCAGAAGTTCTGATAGTAATAGTTGAAACTTCATTTTGTTGGCAAACAAGAAATGCTATCTTCGTATCCGCTTCTTCGTGATCAGGGCATGACAACTCATTATTAATGATGCGTATTACTTTATTATCAGTAACAAAATATTCATAACACAAATCATGTATTATGTAAATTACCTTACTACAGATAATCGTTGCCATCTCCTGATCAGCCTAATGATCGATCAAAAACTTGACAATAGCTTCCTTAAACTTTATATTTTTCAAATCTTTCGTAAAATATATGGATCCAGACTCCTTCGGGCCCCTCTGGGGACCAGGCCCCTGAGCGCCCGCCCCAAGCGCCCAGCGGATAAATCTGGACTGAATGAGAGAGGAATAGAAACGCGGAGAGGGATATATAGGCATCTCGCAACTGCACGCATTAAACTTTATCGACGAATTTTTGATATTTCGGCTTGCAGAAATCATCAGATTATATATTTTTCGTTATCCTTAAATTATTTCCTTCAAAATAAAAAAAAATTAGCTACGCTCGAGAATGTCAAGATGACGTTTTTTTTTATAGCTTTGCTTCCCTCCCCTTTCTTTACGTTACTCTCAAATTGTCAGATTAGTGAAATATACACTTTTTAGCATGTAATTAACTCACCCTACCTTAATCTGACGCGCTCGAGAATTTCTGATGATCAATTTTTTTTACTAATCTGATCCTTTATCCTTCACTGGCGGCCTTATATATGGAGCTCATATTTGGTGGAGGTACTTAACCGGGCACAAGGTATCCCCCTATATATTAATCTGCTGCGCTTTAGTAAATCCCGAACTCCCCGCTTGGGCTCCCCTATTATTAGTAAACAAAATTAAAATTAGAGTGTTGAAAATAATTTTCTTTGGATATAATTTAATATCTGTTGTAGTATGAGACAAAGAAGTAGTTGTTCTATAGTGGAAACGGTCGTTCGTATTAATTATTGTGAAAACTGGATATGAGATTTTATTTTATAAACTCGCGCAATTAGACAATATTATCTAAATATTTCAATGTTTTGTCTGTATCATAAACCAGATGGGGAAAGGGGTAGGTTACATTTATAACGCTAAATAAATATTTAACGTTTATATCTTGATAACATATAAACGTTCAAAAAACTGAAAAAAGAACATAAATTTTAAAATATTTTAAATTTAAGAGCGATATCCATGCAACACCTAACAGCAAATTCAGATTTAGAACACACTGACAACTTTCAGTGCATCTGAACCCACTTTGGCAACGTTGCTCTATTCCCAGGCTTACGCTACCTTCAATTTATTACTTATAAACTATAGATGATTTAAAATATTAAAAATGCCGATAAATCGCAGGTCCGGTCTAACAAAGAGTATTTCTGTTTTGTTTTCTCGTTTAAAATATTTTTTAAAGGTATAACCTGGTGTAAAATTTTCGAAAAAAAATTTTTATAACTAATTTATTTATTTACGAAATATATTTTTAAATATACATATGTACCTATTTCTACATTTTCTTATATACAGGCTGTTTGGTGGTAAGTGTGAATGATTTTAGGGAATGTTTGTTATTTTATAAAAAAAACATAGATCGAAAAAGTCAGTGGCGCAGTACTTTTTTATTAAAAAAGTGGCATTCTCGCACAAACGCCACTGGTACAAGTAGAAATATTTGGAACACCCCAAAAAATACACATTTGCCCCTTCAAAGTTTTTTTGCAAATTTAGAGTAAATATCTTTAAAACTATTAAAAATAATTAATAAAATTTAATAAATTAAAATTTAAACATTCTGTATCTCGGAAACGAAGCATATTTCGACCTACTTTTATAGGAACTTTTTTTAACAAAATAACTTTGATAACAATTTGCAAAAATTGTTCGTAATTATTTACAAATACCCTGTATAAAAATACGTTTTTTAAATAATAACCCATTTGATACTAGTTTGTGCAACAACAGTGGACAATCCACTGGAGTTGTACAGTATATTTTTTTCTACGACCCACTAACGAAAATCTACAAATTTAAAGTATTATTTTAGGAAAAGACAAAATAATTAATTTTAAAATAATTTATGACTTTACTAATTTGTGAAATAAAATAAACATGAAAAAATATTTCATTTAATTAGTCCCCAGCCCAGATTTGAACTCGGGCCTCTCGCGTGAAAGACAGATGCCGTATCATCATTTTCACCTCCACATTTAAAATTTTAGTTCTAAAAGTAGTAATTAAATTAGTTTAATATAGGTAGTTTAATTCAAATTTAGGATTTTTTAAATTGTGGTCTAAATTAAAATTATTTATGAATCCTACGCAAAAATAACTCATTTTAATGTCTATTTAATCTCAATTCCTAAAAAATATACTGACAATTAGTTTGACAGAATTGTCACTTATTTAAAATTTTAAAAATAATAGTTGTTGAGTGTCCAATATATAAACTGTGATTGGTGGATTTTATTTTTTTGCAGTGTTCTCACTACCCAGAATGGATATGAAATATATTCGTTGAGTTGAACGCAATAGTATATTTTTTCGTTTTGTAGTCTGTGCGTGAATAGTAGTTTGTGCAACAAAATTGGATATGATGGCCATATCGCACGAAGACGAAGTTTCAGAATGACGCCGTAGACGGAGTGCTTAATCGTCTGAGTGCTTAATCGTCTGAGTGCGATACAGACAATCCACTCGAGTTGTACAGTATATTTTTTCTACGACACCCTAACGAAATTCTACAAATTTAAAAAAGTAATTTATTAAGACAAAATAAATAATTTTAAAATAATGTATGACTTTTAATAATTTATAAAATAAAATAAACATACAAAAAGATTTAATTTAATTAGTCCCCAGCCATGATTGGAACTCGGGTCTCTCGCTTGGAGACAAACTCCGTGCCGTCGCCACACTTGCCATTATAGTTCTAATACTTGTAATTAAATTAGTTTTATATGGTTTGATTAAAATTTAAGATTTGTTTATAAATTTGGACGAAATAAAAATAGAAATTCTATTACTTATCGATTATACATAAGAAATATTCATTTTTACGTATATTTAATCTCAATAATTCAAAAATATACTGACAGTTAGTTTAACTACATAAAATTTAAAAAATAATAGTAGCCGGGTGACCAATATATAATCTGATTGGTTGATTTAACTGTTTTGCAGTGTTCTTACTAGGTAGAATGAATATGAAATATATTCGTTCAGTTGAACGCAATGGAATACTTTTTTGTTTTGTAGTATGTGCGTAGATTAGCTAATATTCATGTGGGTATAGAAAAAAGCATATCCATGTGGATGTAGAAAATAGTAGTTTGTGTAACATGAGTGAATATAAATTAAATTGATTTCATATAGTTTAATTAAAATTTATAATTATTTATTTCTAAATATAGATCAAATAAAACTAGAAATGCTATTATTTATCGATTCTACACAAGTATAACTCATTTTACGCAATAGCATATTTTTTCGTTTTGTAGTCTGTACGTAGATACGCTATCCATTTGGGTGTAGAAAAAATTGTTTTCTAGTACTAAAAATATTTAAAAATAACATTGAGTAAAATGATTTATTATTAGTAAAAGAAGGAATAAAAATAATCATTTTTATTGACTATTGGTCGGATTTCTACTCGGATTTCTACTCAAATTTCTAATATCTAAACCTCTAGAGAAACGTGGATCTAAGATCTCGGGTAGTATACAATCTAAATAAAATTGCTTAAGTTTGTTTTCCATATACACTAAAATCTATCATCTTTTTTATTTTTTCTACTAACATACTTAAAGGTATTAAAATAAATAAAAAAAAAAATATTTCGTTTAGTTACGTTAAGTTGCCCCTGAACAATTATTGCATTTTCGCATTATCATTAATAATTGCAAATTTTATTATGTTGTCAACCATTGCTTTTTTCGGAGTCAGTTTTGAAGCAGTGGCAGGATATTTAATTTCGATAATACTGTCTGTTCCTAATAAACCGTCGGAACCTAAAAACCATATTCAGAATCCACAAATAAACCACATTTATTGGATATCCGCTTTAAATTTGTAAATATTGCTTTAAAGCTAAAGGTTTTTTTTTATTCAATACTTAGTATATTAATTTCCCATATATTTTAACTTTAATGCTTAGAAGGGGTGCTAATGTTTGTCTTTTTCTAAGTAATCTAGCACGATATTTTATAGATTTCCGTCGAAACGTAAATATAATTTTCGGCATTTCCGAAAGTTTTCCCATTTTTATCACAAATTATTATAACTCAGCTTACACATAAAAGTTCATATAAACACATTGACTAAATACGAAACAAAAACACCTACACTTGAACTAAAAAGTTTTTTATTATTTTATCTTTATCCCAATTTTCCGGTACTGCATGCACCGCCAACGTCCGCCGCCTTGTTGCCAAATCAATTAATATGGATTGGAATCTTGACAGATTTTCTCAGATTTCCTAATTCAAGGTTTTCAAAAAATATACGCTTTGGACAAAAAAGTGTATTAGAAAGAATTAGCTGATTTTTATATAACAATTCCCGGTAAAGACTCCTTTTTGCAATAATTTTCATAATTTGTATAGAAATAATTAAAAAATTAGTTTTTCTGAATTCGGGCTCTACAGCGGAGTTCTCTATCATTTGCTTAGTAGGTATACCAAATTTTATAAAAAAATATTTAAAACTGAGAAAGAGAACCTTGAAGTCGTTTTAAGCCTGTTTCTAACCATGGATATCGCTCTTAAAAGATGTTATTAAATTTGTATTACAGGGACCGCTGTTTTTCTACAAAAGCTTTTGGAGGGTGTTGCGAAAGCCTTTTATGCGAGAATGTTGACGAAATCAAGGACATGATAAAACAGTTAAATGGGGGAAGGATTTATTAGGTACAAATTAAATGAAGTGATAAAATAGCAACTAACGTTTAATATAACTGTAAATATATGAGTGTATATATTATAAAATTGGCTTGTTATTAACTAATTGGGAATGATAAGTTTTACATTAATTTAATAATAAATTTGTATTTTTAACTATACATTATTATACTTGCTTTAACATGCATGTACAATATTTTAAAAAAAAATACTTTTTACTAACATCTGCATGATTATTTCACTTTGTTTGGACACAAGTTAATAACTGTTGCAAATTATTATTTAATGTTATTCTCATTTATTGATATACAGGGTATTTCATAAGGAATGGTGAATATTTTAATCATAGGTTCAGGACCTCCAAATATTAATATTTTACTAAATAATTCAAATGTTTTCTACTACAAAGATAGAGGGTGTTGAAGTTAAAATTTATTTTTCGTTTCTTTATTATATAACATATAGACAATAATAATAATATTAGCTTTATTATGTGTTACAAAAAAGATATTACTTAATTAAATTCTCAAAATGTGAAACATATTCGTCAATGTACGCTTTAAGTATTTTACCTTATGATTTTCTGACATGAAAAAAGATGTTATGTTTAGTTTTATTAATATCGGCAGATTCTTAAATTTCATTTAAGTGCTGACGGACCATTAAGGGAAAATAAGTTGGTGCTCCATCATGAATGAACCACATATACCACATATACCGTAATAATTCCGGTAAACTATTTCTTAATAAATTTAAACACAGGGGATCATTTTAATTGGGTGGAAGCTCGAAAGGTTCTAAAAGTATATCGCCAATTATACCACATCATACATTAAGTTTGAAGTCATACTGAAAATGCCTTTCTTTTGCTAAATGTGGTTTTTCGATTTGCCAAGAGTGCATTCCTCCAATTAAATACGCCACGCCTAATAAATGTTTTTTTAAAAATGTTCTGTTATTATTTAGTTTGTCACGAAGCCATTGACAAAACTGAACTCTAGTTTGATAATTCCTAGGTATCAAATTTTATAGTAGCATAAAATGAAAGGAGTACAGTTTTTCCTTTTTTGAAATTTTAAATATTAAGGAATGGCTCACTCTAGCAGTTGTTAATAAACGTCATGTACTCATTTCGGGATTCTCAGCAACCTGGAGCAAAATTTCTTCGTCTTGCTCAACAGGAATAGTATTTCGACGTCCGGTATGGCTTTTGAAACGAAATAAACCTGTTTCACTCAATGTTAGATTGAGTGAAACAGGTTTTTAAACAGTTTAGAGTCTGTATCTTCTGACAGCAACAAGTCCAGAAAAATTAATTTGTGCATAAACACAAATCATATCTCTCATTTTTGAATTAGAGAAATGACTGTGTCGTGGCATTTTCACTACGTACTTGAAAGGCATTTGGTGAACAAAATTAATACTGCAGTCATTAAATAAAATCTAATAATTATTTGACAACTGTCATTTTAGTGTTCAAGCCTACTATGTTGAAATATGGTAAAGTAAATTAAATAGATACTCTGGCTAGAATATTTTAAATGCAAATATCTCGATATGAGCTGAATTTAAGCTATTAAAACAAGTATACCTTTTTTGTTCAAATTTACAGGGTGTATCATGAAGGCTTGAGAAAAATTCAAAAAGGCCAGGATTAAAAAAATTGATAATTTTCTTCATCCAGTAAAGTCTAGGTGGTGCCCTCTATATCTAATTTTAAAATTAATAAAATGCTTATGATTTACTACCTAAAAATATTACCATACCAAATGTCAAGTTAATATGTTAAATTATAATGAAATTATTGCAAATAACGAAAAATAAATCGTTATTTCAACACCCTGTATCTTAGTAGTAGATAACCATTCCTTAAGAATTTATAAACATGTAAATATTTAAAATTTCACACTATGTATCTTTGTCTACAGCAACATTTTATTAAGACATCCAATCCTCATATTTTGGCCAAAATAATCTGTTTTTTCTTCATGTCCGAATAATTATTACCCACCCTGTATTAGTGTTACAAACTGATAGATATGGTATACAGGGTGCATCGGATTTATATTGCGTATATAGAGAGCTTTTAAACCAGAGATAACATTAAACCGTAAGATATACATTCTCGGTTAAATGGAAAATTTTTATAGGTATTTTAATGTGTACTACTAATTCCGGAAATATGTGACAAAATTCAAATTTAAATTTTTTTTAAATATGAACCTGTATTTTACACTAATAGCTTTTCATAGCTTTTTCATAGCTAAATACAATGATATGTATTTAGCCATTTTACTGCGTTTCATCTACGAAAATAACATCAGCCTAGTTGCAGCATATGTGTATAAAAATATAACATTAGTAAATATAATTTGCATGAACTGGTTTTAGTTGTAGGTGTACAAATACTGGAAGGCTTTTCCAAAGTAAATAACATCTACTAATTACCTTGCCACTGGTTATTGAAAAAATCTTCTCATTCAAATGTTCTTCAAACACATATGTATTTCTAAATTGAAACGGCAAGCTAAAATATAAAAGAACGACCAACTTAATCAAATTCTGTCTGATAATTGTTTAACCAAAAAAAAATCTTTAAGGTAGGCCTAGGACAATAATTATTAAAGAATTTGCTCTAGTTATGTACTGTTTTTTGTGAAAAAAATTTTGCAAAGTGAATAGCTGTACTGTTTTTGATTGTTTTTTAGTTGATTCAAGAAAGTGTTTATAAAACTAATGCCGCAAAGAAAATGCAAAATCTCCGTTCGTTGGGTTCTACCAATTTGTCATTTATTCCCATCCGACTAATATATTTGTTTTAAAACTCATCCTTAGTGAAGCTGAAAAATTAATACATTTTTCTCGCAGTAAAGATTGGAAAAATGAGTCAGATGATAACCATGAGGAGTATATTTCTTCAGTTTTAAAGATTGGTACATCAATATTCTTGATAGATTTTCCTTCTTGTCAGTAAATGGAAAACGCATCATATAAAAACCTAAGAATGCAACATGTTAAGATAAAATTAAGGATTAGATTTAGAAAGAAGATATCGGATTTAAGGATTCATTCATCAAACCTTAATCACCTGCTGGTGCAGGCAAAACAATACTTCCCAATACAAAAAAAGCACAGACTAGATGAACAATATAGACAAGAAATGTAGGGTCTTATGTTCACGTGCATTAGTTCTTCTACTCTTAAAAGTGTCAATCATTACTCTCCTTCCTGTATTGTTCACCTATTTTGTGTCAAAAGTACTCGTATTATGTTGATGAAATGTCACGAATTCACAATGTGGAAGTACTTAGACTGCCTCCTTATCAATGTGAGCTGAATCTATTTGAGCCACATACTTTGATTTTCTTTTAAGTATGTGATTTGAGCTAATTTGGGATGGCATTTGCTAGAAAATGACAGACGTCAAACAACTCGTTCAAGAAGATATTGGTGGTATAGCTGACACCAAATGACTAAAATGTAGAACAGAAAATGTGGCAAATGGCTATCCACATGGATATTAACAATATCATAATCGAACATTTTGGAGAAACGAGTAGTGACACTGATTCGGACGAAAATATATGCTGTAATGTGAGCCATTTCATTATTCAGTCATGCTCTAATCCTCCAAGTCCCTCTCTGTCTTATTTAGCCTTTGAGGCTCAACTTGTCCGATTATCATACATAATAAAACCCCTTAAGACCAAATATATGCGACGACTATGGCGGATGCGCTTTCGAGATCTTTCCAGAGTCAACGTGATAATGTTTCTAGTATTGGTGAGAATTGGTGAAAATTCTAGTACCTTCGCCAAAGTTTTAAATTTGTTTATAAATATTGGTGGAGGAACAACGCAGGAATCAGTGGTATATAGACAGTTGAGATTAAAGTATTGGACTGTGAATATAAATAGTGAACAATTTAGAGACTTCGAAATATATATAAATTAGAATAGTATTGTTTTAAAATAAATAAGTGTTTAAATAAATTATTAATACATAAACTGTTATTTTAAAATTAACAAACATCACATTGGTGTCAGAAGTGGGATAGTGTAAATAAATAGTGACCTAAATGGCTAAAAGACTGTGTGATTTAAAACTGACCGAGCTACGTCGGGAGTTAGAAGATTGCGAGTTGGAGACGACAGGGAAGAAAGCAGAACTGGCAGAACGACTTAAGGTACAGTTACATCTGACATTTATTGCATAATATTTATGTCTGACAGTTGTTTATTCCAGTGTAAACACTCAAAAATATATGTCCGAGAGAAATGTTTGTGTGTTTACACTGGACTAAATAACTGTCAGACATAAATATCATGTAATAGATGTCAGATGTTACTGTACCTTTAAAGAAGCAATAGAAAATGAAGGTTTGGATCCGGAAACGTATCTATTTTTGGATGACACTTCTTTTATAATTTCTTCAATTTCTTCCGATATGAAAACCGAAATATCTGTGAGAAACGAAATTTCTTCTTTAAAAACCAAAGTTTCGTCTGATATGTATTCTATGAAAACTGAAATACTGCTGATGTTTCTTCTATAAAAAGTGATATTTCCTCCTTAGAAAGTAAAGTTTCGTCTGACATTTCTTCCTTAGAAGAAAAGGTGTATTCTGACATATCTTCTTTAAAAACCGAATTTTCTTCCGACTTGGAAAACAAAATGGCTTCTCTAAAAAACGAATTCTCTATTGATGTGGAAAACAAGATGTCTTCCGTTGAGGTGAAAATAAAACAGATGGAAAAGAAGATAGAAGAACTGGAACATACAGGACCGGCCAAGGACGGTCAAATAAAGTGCCATGAGGTAGAGTAAAAGATGAAATTGGAAGGAGCTGTAAACTCTGCTCGTGTTAAAGCCCCAACTTTCGACGGAAATGTGTCATGGACCAATTATTTTAAGCAGTTCGAAACAGCTGCCAGAGCAAACGAATGGTCCGAACGAGAGAAGGCAATAAATTTGACCATCACCCTTCGAGAAGACGCTTTAGATGTTCT